AAAAAAAAAAAATTAAGCTGGGAATGATGGCACACGCCTTAAATCCCAGCACCTGGAAGGCAGAGGCAGGATCTCAGTGAGTTTAAGTCTAGCCTGATCTACAAAAAGAGTTCCAGGGCAGCCAGGGCTAAAGGGAGAGACCCTATCTCAAAAAATTAAACAGATTAAGGTAACTTAATGAGCACGAGATACTGTGCATATCCACGAATACAGGGGACACTGCACAGCCGTCCCCCCCAAACACCCCAGAGCCTCTGTTTGCACACGTGCTTGTCACCCACTATAGTCAGGATCTTACTGTGCTACGGATTTTAGAGTATTCCTCCCGGGCAGCTGGCGCCCTCGTCTCTGGTTTCTTCAGTCCGCTTAAACTGCCACACAGGGGAAGGAGGCGGCCTCTCTAAGGTCCCCTGCAGCCTGGGCTATGATGTAAGCATTCCTCTGTTCTGCCTCTGGTGCTCTCCTGTGATCACATTTCAGGCAGACTGGGGGAAAGAAAGAAGGAAATTTTGGAAACGAAAAGGAAGAAGGAAGCTTGACGGTGAAAATGGGTGGCCGGGTTGACGGAGGCCGAGTAAGAGCGGCTCCCGGGGCTTTTGTTCACCGGCCCTCTTCAGGTTTGCAGCCCGGTGTGTGGTTTATCTGCGTGCTGACCGCTCCTTTGGCCACGCAGGGCCCTGAAAGAATTGAGCAGAATTCCGGTGTTGGCTCCCAGTGACATGCAGGAGAGCAATGCCTACTTTGAGAGGCGATGGGAGGGAAGGACTCAAACCGAATAGCAGGGAGGGAGTAGAGTGGTCATTCTGCACTGTGTCCCCGTGTGGGGCCGCCAGCAAAGAGAATAGCTTTTTAAAGAAACTGATGAAGGGGGCCTTGTATAGCACGTTGTCCAGAGTGGCGTGGGAGTAGTTAGCTTACCCCCAGCCTGTAGAACACAAGAAGTTTAAGCCAAGCCTGGTGGCACCTCTAACCCCAGAGCTCAGTGGACTGAGGCAGAAGGGTCACAAGTCTGAGGCCAACCTGGTCTACACAGAAAGAAAGAGAAGAAAGAAGCTGTTTAACTCCCCTTTAGAGGAAGAAATTTGTTTTGGAGAGCGTGTGTGTGTGTGTGTGTGTGTGTGTGTGTGTGTGTGTGTGTGTGTGTGTTCTAACAGAACTAAAAGAAAGGATGTATATATTAAAAAGGGATTTATTAGATTGGCTTACACACATGGTCCAGGTAATCCAACAATATCTGACTCGCACTGGAGAACCTCAGAATCCAGTCACTGCTCCATCCATGAGCTGATTTTCTCAGCAGTCCTGACCTGGCACTGGAGGCTGGAGGATTCCCCGAGAGCTGATGGTCTTCTGTCTACATGGGAAGCTGAATAAGTTAGTTCTGATACCAGTGAGAGATGCTACAACAACAGGACTTGCCGTCCAGGGTGCAGGTAGCAGGCTAAAGCAAATCCGTGTCCTTTTATCTGGGCTCCCACCAGAAAGTGCCAGCCACATTTAAGATGGGTCTTCCTGCTTCAAATAATCTGATCAAGGAAATCCCTCACAGGACTATCCCACTGCTTATGTTTTAGTTGATTACAGAAGCAGTCAAGTTAACAACCAAGGTTCTATGAGAGAGAGAGAGAGAGAGAGAGAGAGAGAGAGAGAGAGAGAGAGAGAGAGAG